CGGGTCTGCGCCCAGGTCCCACGCGCGTGGGCTGCGAGCTGCGGGGCGCTGGTCCGGAGCGCCCTGGCCACTCCGGAGCCCTCGCCCGGTTCCAAGGTTGCCACCATGCAATCTGTAGCTCCCTGTCTTAGAACGACAGCGTCCAGGCAGGGGTGCGTTAGGAGCTGGAATGGACAGGGGGTGCAGGGGCTTGGCACGGTGCCCCCAGGTCCCCAGACGCACTGGAGACGTGCGAGCGTCCTGAGGACTGGCGCTGGGCCCAGCGCAGGGGGCTGACTCTGGGTTTGGGCTCAGCTTGCTTGTTTTTGGTTGATTTGGATGTTTTCTGTTTTGCTAATCACGGAGGAGACGTTCCCGGATGGATAGATGGATGGATGGATATGTGTGTGTGTGTGTGTGTGTGTGTTTGTTATAGGGTACGTGCACTTGCCAGAGAGCAGAGAGACAGAGAGAGGCAGAGAGACAGAAAGTGAGAAGCCACGCCCCCCACGGGGGGTACGACAGCGTCCAGGCAGGGGTGCGTTAGGAGCTGGAATGGACAGGGGGTGCAGGGGCTTGGCACGGTGCCCCCAGGTCCCCAGACGCACTGGAGACGTGCGAGCGTCCTGAGGACTGGCGCTGGGCCCAGCGCAGGGGGCTGACTCTGGGTTTGGGCTCAGCTTGCTTGTTTTTGGTTGATTTGGATGTTTTCTGTTTTGCTAATCACGGAGGAGACGTTCCCGGATGGATAGATAGATGGATGGATATGTGTGTGTGTGTGTGTGTGTGTGTGTGTGTGTGTGTGTGCGCGCGCGTGCGCGCGTGCAGGGGTCAGGACTGGGAGGATTTCGGGACATTCACCTAGTTACACAATGTGAAGCATGTGGGCGCGTCAGCGCGCCAACAGGAATTGTGACAGATCGCATCCCACTTCAGTCCTCAGTTACTCGGGAGCACAGGACACACCTCGGGGAGGGAGGAGAGGTGGCGAGTTTCGACGCCCCCCCCCTTGGAAGAACGCTCAGGGAGGTGCCCTGCCCACTGGGATCCTGCGAGAGAGCGCAACCTGCAGGGTGGCACCCAGGGGCAGGGGATGCAGTCAGGGCTGGAACTGAGGCGCAGTAGCTGCAGGTCAGACCTCACTGGCCCCTGGTGAGGCCCAGAGACAGGAGAGGAGACCTTATGCTGCCGCCAGCTCCTCCCCGCCCCGCCCCTGGGCTGCAGACCCCAGAGTGCTTTTCAGAAGTGGCCGGCTGGGTACAGTCCCTCCTTGTCTAAGGCAGCTGTCTGTTGAACAAGCCCTCCCCCACGGACAGGAACAGCGAATTATGTAACTCATTTGGAGAAGCGAGCAGTAACTTTGTATGTAACCAGGCTGACATTTCTTTTCCAAAACAACGAGGTGAGCAGCCACTCCTGGCTAGCTTTTGAAAAAACGCAGCTGCAGCGGGGTCTGGCCAGACAGCTGGGTGTCTGGGTGGTTAACGCACTGGCACGCCAGGTCCGAGAAGCCAGGCCTCCGGGGCTCACGGGCCAGCCCATCATGCAGTATGCAGTCTGTAGTCCGGCTCGAAACGTACAGGGCGGCGATACTGAGATTTAGCCAGCTTGAATTGTTTTCGGTGTTCACAGTTGCATAGCTTATGTCGCAAATAAATGTTGGGATAATAACTAGCAAGTGTTCCTTTGCAAAGATAAGGTATATACATCTCCTCAGTGCTATTGTTTTCGGACGCTTTTCCTCTCTTCAGATATTCTAAGGTGAAACTGGACACATCTTTCTTTCTTTCATTCACTTTGGGAAAGAAGCTTGCAAACCCTTTAAGAAAGTGGATTTTCCGTATAGCTAACTTCTCCTTAGTAGAAGAACTAGTCTCGCGGGGCATGGAGGGGTCGGAGTTCAGTGTGGTTACCCACATCCATCTGCGAGAAAGCCTTGCAGGACTCCATACGTGTTTGCATGCATTCCCAAGTGTCAGTCAAGTGGATGTACAACTTCGGTTTTTCTTCCTTTCCATTTCGAGCACCTTTTCCTGTGCCCCTTTCTCTCTCACCTGGACTCTTGCATGACTTTCCTACTTCTCTCTCCCTCCTTCAGTGTGTGAAAGGCCAGTGAGGATAGTAATTTGATTCTTTTAAATGCCTCTAATTGCCAGAGGGTACATGTGTGGGCCAGAGAGAGACAGGAAGAGAGAGAGGGAGAACAAGAAAACACTCCCCAATGGGGGTCATCACTTCACTATCCCTTCTCCTCCACCTCTCCATCCTGTCAGGATTCTGGGAACACACGCACATGCCTGGCATGAGTCCCAAGACCTCAGGGCCAGGGCTCAATCTGTGGTCAGCCATGTGGGACGATTCTCTAACCTACTATGTAGTGGGGCCTGCCCAAGAACAGTAACTGTAAAACAGTCCTACAACGGGGCGGCCCTCCTCTCTCCCACAGGCATCTCACTAGAAGGAGGCCCTCCGCAGGCTGTGCCCCTCTCCGGACGCTGACTGTCCTGCTGGGCTCTCTCTAATCATCCTGCTGCTCCTCGCTGCTTAGCACCCCAGGGACGCCATAGCCTTGAAGGTTTTATGTTTGTTTTTCCACATGGGATGCCATCTCTGAGATTCAGGAGGTCTTCCAGAAGTTTCATGGAAAATGCATAGTATGAAAAAACATGCAGGACTTTTTTTTTTTTTTTTTTTGCATCAAAATAAGTTTGCCCTTTAATTTCATTTTTTTCCATGAACTATGTGAAGTCGTCTCTGACCTCCCAGGCTTTAATTCGCATGCCACCTTTCCAGGCTTCCCGGAGCCTTCTGGCAATAAGTTGCTGCTCCCAGGAGTCAGGGCCTCCTCTGCTAGGAGCTCTCGATAGCATGCGTTACCCTCCAGCGTAGAGTCTCTTACCAACGGGCTTTCCTTTGCCTGAAGGACTAGGAAGACCTTTTCCTCGCAAGTCTCGCTGGCATTGAACAGGTGTAAATAAATGTCTGTACCCCGACCTGATTGGATGACAGTGGGGTTAGCGTTCACTTCACAGGTAAAGGGCTTAACCTGCACAGAGCCTACCTTTCCAACCACACAGCTGCTATTTTCGGTCAATACAGTTTTACCCGGAATCCACCATTTTCAAGGTACTGTGAAGATACACAAAGCCCACCTTAAAGTTTCACCTTATGGTAAAACTGAGACGCATCAGTTCAGTGAAGGACTCAAAGGACCAAATGGTGCTTCGGCAGAGGGTAGAACGTGGACTAGTGGCAAGGTGGCGAGAACCCCCCCAGGAGGAGTGGCGGGGGGAGACTCGGAGCAGCCCCTGGCCGGCCTGGAGCAGAGCACACAGTGCTGGAGCCACAGGGAAGGGAGGGCACAGAGGCCCCGAGTGTCAGCAGTCCACCCAGGCTTTCTGCCTCAGGGTCTTCAATGACCTGGTGGTGCTTGGTGACGGGCCATGACACAGGGCAGAGGACAAAGCGCACACTTGCCTCCTGCACTCTTAGGTAAGGCGGCTCTCTCTGCAGTAACTGGAATATCAAGTACAATGCTGAGCTGTCTTCTCACTGGAGGGTTTCTTAAGAGCTGCCGACTCTTACCTGCTTGTTCAAGGTTTGTTCTCAGAACCCGGCACTGACGCTTCTCTCTGCCTTCGAACTCGGGAGAGGAGAGGAGTGGTTGCTGCAGAGGGGCAAGGGAGGTGGTCGTCACGGTCATTGCCCGGAGGCCGAGAGCCCTACTTCGCAGTCATCCGTCTCCACTCCTTACACTGCCGTCCTGACTTAACGATGGGCACCGCTGTTCTTTGAAAAGAATGATCTCATTAGTATAAACTGTTATTACTTAACTTGTTCTAGGGCATGCATGCTCAGTAGAGAGAGAGGAGGGAGAAAGGGAGAGAGTGAAAAGGCAAGCTGTCAGGTCTGGGACTTGAGCTATGGGCCATGTGGGAATCCAGCACCCCAACCACCACACCACCTGCTGGCCTGGCACCATTGTTTTTATTTTTATTTGGTTTTGTAGGGCCTAATTAGGATTTCATAATGAAAAAAAAATTGGGCCAGCTGGTGGCATGGTGGCTGGGGCGGCTGGTTCAACAAGTCCATCCAACTGTGCAGTTCAAGTCCCAGATCTGGCGGCTTGGGGAACACGCCGGGCGCGTGTGTGTGTGTGTGTGTGTGTGTGTCTGTGTGTCTGTGTGTGTGTGTGCGTGTGCACACATGCACATGCGCGCGCCCAGGGTCCTGAGAGGAGAGTGAGGGAAGGGGATTTCAATGTGGCCATCCCCCTGGGGTGCGCTTTCTCACTTTACTTTTCTCCCTGTTGAGCACATGCAACAAAACAGAACAAAACACCAAGGCCCCCCGTTTCCTAAAAGGCAAGAACACCGAAGGAAAGATGAGAGGTGTCACTTAGAAGGCACATGCGTTTTTGTTCATTAAATTTCACTTTCCTTTAAATGTAAGTAAGCATGCCCAGCTTCCTCTGTTGCCCTCAGACCAGAGAGGGGCCTAGTTCATTGTCTTAGCACAGGCTCAGGGCCTGGTAGTAACCCATCTCAGTTACTTCACCCAGGGGGAAGCAGAGGCGTTCAAAGTAAAGAGCTGTTAATCTCTGCAGTCTGCTGTCTGTGGTTTGCTAAAGAGAAAAATACTTACCTCACCGAGTGCTGTGAAAAATCCCAGGTGCGGCTACGGTGAGACCCCTGTACTGGGGATGCAGGTACTCTGGTGTGGAGGGAGGGTATTTGCACGAATCGAACCTTAGAAGTCCTTCAGAAGTTTCTGACGCATTAGTGAAGTCACAGACTCTCCTGCCTGGTGCAGGAACTCCCTGGCGTGCTCTTCCATGCCGTGGTCATAAGCTCTCGTGTGGCAAAACCAGGCCTGTTTTCCTTCGCTAACCACAGCCAGCTTATTCCATGTGGTTGAACGTTTGCTCTTCGTAACAATGTGATTTTAAATAAATAATGTGCATGCCTCTGCCCCGTATCTAACTCCTACGGGGAGTCCTCACAGCGTCTATAGATAATGTGTATAATGAAAAATGCCGTGTGTGGATTTCAGTTCTTCTTTGCACCAAAAATTAGCTCAGACTTTAATCCCATTTTTCCACAAGCTTCCTGAAGTCCTACGTCTAGTGACACAGACATACAATACGAGCGATTTCCCTCTATCCTACATGCCACCCATTAAAACGTGGCTCGGTGTCTGTACCACCCCCACGAGGTGCTTCCTGGGTTAACATCGCCGTCCAGTCTTTCCCAGCCCCTCAGGCTGCCTGTGCTGGCCAACGTCTGCCTTAGAAAGCACTCCCGCGTGTGAGGGGTGCACACCCAGCTCCCCGCCAGCTCCTCCGCTCCTGTAGTGTGAGGAGGAATTACGCACCCTTGCTTTTGCTTCATCTGTTTTATACATTTTTCTTGTGTTTTGGGGGAAAGAGGGGGCTTGCTGACCCCTGTGCATCGTTTGTTACACAGTCACGTTGTCACAGCGTTAAGGAACGTGCCCTAGTAACATTTTGTCATTTGCAGTGTGAGATGCACAAATGCTTTACCACCTCACAGATCACTGTTTGCTGAAACTCAGGGGCCAGCCAGTCCAGTGAAAAACATCACAGGGTTTTTCTCTACGTGTTTGCACTGTTTCTGCTGTGTTAGAAATATGTTTATGAGGATTCCATTGTGTAATTTATTCCTGTGTCTTCTCTTTAAGGAGCTCTGAGTCAGAATTCATTATGACCACCCTCCCGTAATTAGTAATGCTGTCGGCCATTTTCTCTCTGCAGGTCGTTCAGTTCAAGGGCACGAGGAACTCGGAGTGGTTCCGGTACATGGATTCCAGGACGGGGAACGAGGATAGATGAGCCGTTGACCGGCTTGGAAGAAACGCACTGTCCGTCTGTCTAAAATCACTTGTAACAACCAAACCAAACACAATGAATTCAACGCTGCTTTCCCAGATCGAAAACCATTCAATAGCCCATAATTTCTCAGGGAGGAATTCCCAGCTTTTGGCTTTTGAAGATGACGACTGTCACCTGCCCCTGGCCATAATATTCACATTGGCTCTGGCTTATGGAGCGGTCATCATTCTCGGGGTGTCTGGAAACCTGGCCTTGATCATAATCATCTTGAAACAAAAGGAGCTGAGGAACGTCACCAACATCCTGATCGTGAACCTCTCCTTCTCGGACCTGCTCGTGGCCGTCATGTGCCTCCCCTTCACGTTCGTCTACACGCTGATGGACCACTGGGTCTTCGGCGAGGCCATGTGCAAGCTGAACCCTTTCGTGCAGTGCGTCTCCATCACCGTGTCCATTCTCTCCCTGGTGCTCATCGCCGTGGAGCGGCACCAGCTGATCATCAACCCGCGCGGGTGGAGGCCGAGTAACAGGCACGCGTACGTGGGCATCGCCATCATCTGGCTCCTCGCCGTGGCGTCTTCGCTGCCCTTCCTCATCTACCAAGTCCTGACCGACGAGCCCTTCCAAAACGTCTCGCTGGACGCCTTCAAGGACAAGTACGTGTGCTTCGACAGGTTCCCGTCGGACTCGCACAGGCTGGCCTACACCACGGTCCTCTTGGTGCTGCAGTATTTTGGCCCGCTCTGTTTTATATTTATTTGCTACTTCAAGGTAAGAAAACGTGGTAGCCCTGTTGTTCCCACACTTCCCCTCTTCCCCCGGAATTCCTTATTCGGTGACCGATTCTGTGAGGGCTCTCTTTTTTCCCCTTCCCTCCCTAGATATACATACGCTTAAAACGGAGGAACAACATGATGGACAAGATGAGGGACAGCAAGTACCGGTCCAGCGAGACCAAGAGGATCAACATCATGCTGCTGTCCATTGTGGTGGCCTTCGCCGTGTGCTGGCTGCCGCTCACCATCTTCAACACCGTGTTCGACTGGAACCACCAGATCATCGCCACGTGCAACCACAACCTGCTCTTCCTGCTCTGCCACCTCACCGCCATGATCTGCACCTGCGTCAACCCCATCTTCTACGGCTTCCTCAATAAGAACTTTCAGAGAGACTTGCAGCTCTTCTTTAACTTCTGCGATTTCCGGTCTCGGGACGACGACTATGAGACCATTGCCATGTCCACCATGCACACGGATGTTTCTAAGACTTCTCTGAAGCAAGCAAGCCCAGTCGCATTTAAAAAAATCAACACTGATGATAACGAAAAGATCTGAAACTGTGTGTAGCATAAGGTCCCAGGTGGCATCTGTTTAAAAATAAGCACAACCTGCAGCAAACTTTCATGGCCCGAAGGACTGGGCTTGAAATCCTCCGAGAAAGACCAAGATTTTCTTGTCTTGCTTTCTAGCGCTTTTAGTACAGTGGTTATGATTATGTTTGGAACAAAGGTATAGGCTTTGGAATTTCCTGGCTATCATTTTGACCAGACTTCCTTGAAGTGCTTTTTGTGAATTTATGCATATAATCTACAGACTTTTCTACTGTATTTATTGGAATGAAATTAAAGTATTATCCTTAACCGACTCGGACGCACTAGCCATCTGATACTCTCACTAGATTGGGTCCTCCCAGACTTTTCTGCTGTATTTATTAGAATGAAATTTCTTTAAAGTATTATCCTTAACCGACTCGGACGCACTAGCCATCTGATACTCTCACTAGATTGGGTCCTCCCATCCTGATTAGATTAAGTCATCAAGAGCCTGGGCCATCCTCAGTAGATGACAGGCATCCTGTCATCTGGTAAGAGGTGACAACAGGGGACAGCAGCATTCAGGAGAAACCAAAAGAGAGTACGAAGTCATTCAGGAGTAATTTGCATTTAAAAAAATTATTTTAAGAAAGAAAGGACTTACTTTACTCCTAATTGATTATCATTTAAGATAAAAGTGCTTCTCAGCTGTTAATATCATGGGGAATTGAGCACTGACAGGAAACAAGTGAGAAAACAATTCCCTAACTTCAAAACTATTTTGGTACCTGACAACCAAAGCATTTCACAGTAATTACCTTAATAAGTAAATTACTATTGCTGCAGATGGTTGAATTGTATTCCATTGCCCTGGTGGTCAAGAGGGTTTGCGTTCTTTACAGACTGTTCAATTTTTGTCAAGCTTTCTGACATAAACGTGTGACTCCAAGGCATTTCCAGCTTACGGTATATAGAAGTACAGGCTGTTTTCCCCACAGCAGTGCCTATACAGTAACTCGTTTTAACTTGCAGTGTCCATCTCAAGGCAGATGACACCAAGGTGTAATCATAAAAGACTGCTCACTCCAGCCAGCAGGAAAGAAGCTGCCTAAATACTGAACACGCTTCATGCAGCCCATGTTAACTCGTGTGGCCTGTGAGGCTTGTGGAGTCTATATAACACACCATATAGAGTAGTGAGTGTTTGTGTCACGTTAATATATTCAATGTCATGGATCTTGTAATCATGATTGAGCCTTGGAATCATATGGAGAAATTATATTTCAAAGAACAAGACATAATATTCAATGTATTATATATGCTAAGTGTTAAATGTGTTTGATTTTTGAAGGGCAGATACTTTATTAAAATAAAAACTGTTTTGCTTTTCCTGAGGAGTCTGTTTCATGCTTCCCTTCAGCTTATTTGTCCTTGTCCCAACTCCCTACCAGGGTGGCCCACAGCACCCAGCCCTGCTTTCTGCTGAAGCATGCTACGGCCCAGTCTCCCTCGACTTGCTGGATTACAAGCATCTAGAGGGCCAGGGCTACCCAACATGACGGTGGCCCAACACGGCCACACCACAACCTCATTCCCTCCATTTCCTCCTCCTTTCGGGATTCTGAGCATACATGCACGTGTGTCCATGTGTTTCTTATGTGACCAGGTTTGGGAATCAATCCATGGGGTTGGCCTGTGGGATCCAGCCGCCTTAACCACCATGCTATGGGCTGGCTCTTTTCTAGGTATTGAAGCAAGTTAACATTTGAAAATTAATTCATCTCATCCTTCACATCAATAGGTTAAAGAGTCACATAATCACATTAAACAGATGTAGACATCGCATTTGAGAAAACACCATTCCCACTCATGACATGCAAAAAATTAACTTACGTACTCCCTTCACAAAAATAAACTCAGAATGATTTGTAGACCTAAATGTAAAACCCAAAACTATAAAACTCTTATACGATCAATAGAAGAACGTGACCTTGGGTGTGGTGATGAATGTTTAGATACAATATCAAAAACATGATTCATGAAAGAAATCATTGAAAATCTGGATTTCATTAAGATAAAAACCTTTGGGAACCAGCAGTTAGCATAATGGCTATGTCGCTGGACTCCCACGTAGTCAATCGCGGTTCGTGTCCTGGACCCGGTGGCTTAAAACTCACTCCAGCCTGTGTGCGTGCGTGCCCAAGATCCCCAGAGGAGAATGGAGAAGGGCTTGCGGCGTGACCATCCCCCCTCGGGGGTGATTCCTCGCTTTCTATCTCTATGTCTCTCTCTGTCTGGCGAGCGCATGCGCTCTATAGTGAAAATCTCTCCAAAAAAAAAAAAAAACTTTTGCAAAGTAATAAGATGACAGTCACAGACTTGAATAAAACATTTCAAAAGAACTTTCTGAGAAGGTACTCTTATCTAAAACACAAGGAACTCTTAAAACTCACAACAAGAAAATCAACAGCTCAATTAAAAACTGGGCAAAAGATCTGAACTTAAACCTCACCAAAGAAGTTATTTACATGTCAAATAAGCAATAGGGAATTGCAAATTAACACAACAAAGAGATAACCATTACATACCTATTGGAGTGTAACAAATCCAAAAGACTGACAACACTAAATGCTGGTAAGGGTGGGGAGGAACAGGAACTCCCACTGACTACTCATGGGAATGCAAAAATGTACACTCATTTTAAAAGACAGTTTGAAATTCTTAAAAAGCGAACATTTTTTTTTTCTTTTTGGAGAGGTTTTCACTATAGGGTGTGTGCGCTCGCCAGACAGAGACAGAAAGCGAGAAATCACCCCCCAGGGGGGATGACCACACCGTAATCCCTTCTCCTCCATTCTCCTCTCGGGATCTTGGGCACGCATGCACACGTGCCTGGCGTGAGTTTTAAGCCACCGGGTCCAGGACACGAACCGCGATTGACTACGTGGGAGTCCAGCGACATAGCCATTACGCTAACTGCTGGTCCCAAAAAACAAACATATTTTTACCACATGGTCCAACAATCATACTCCTGATACTTACCCAACTTGCACCTGGATGCTTATAGCAGCTTTATTCAAAATTGCCAAGCTTGGAGGCATGATGCCCCTCAGAAGGTGAATGGTTAAATACTGGTACACCCAGACAATGGAATATCACTTGTTATTAAAGAAAAATAAGGTATCGAGGCATGAAAAATAAAAGGGAACTTTAAATGCATTTTATCAAATAAAAGAAGCTGATCTGAAAATCCTCCATGCTATATGATTCTAACTGTATACCGTTTTGGAGAAGGCAGATGTATGGAGACAGGGAAAATTCAGTGTTTTCCAGCAGTCAGGTGATATGGGATGAATAGGCAAATGGTATGATGCTATAATGGGTGCATGTTATTACACATTTGTCCACACTCATAAGATGTGCATCACCAAGAATGAATCCTAGTGAGACCTCCAGACTTTGGGAGATAACCGTGCGTCACTGTAGGTGCTGCTCTGGCATGAGATTTTGATGGTGGGGAAGCTGTGCCTCTGAGGGTAATGACAGGTACGATGGAAATCTTTTTATCTTGTCTCCTGTGCTTCATTTTACTGTGAACCTAAGCCTACTCTTAAAAAATAAAGTCTATTTACAAAAAAAAAAAAAAAAAAAAGGAGAGAAAGACTCCCATACCCACTGATAGTCCCTCCATCTCCTGGCAACCTCTAATCCGTTTCTGTCTTTATGAAATGGCCCATCCTGGACCTGTCCTGTGAATGAAATGATACCACATGTGTGATCTTCTCTGCCATACTTCATTCCTTTGGCATAGATTTCTCAAGGTTTATCATGCTGTAATGTATGTCAATAGCCATTACCGATGATATTCCGATGTATGAATGTGGTACATTTTGTCCATGCCTTCATGTATTGATGGACATTTGAGGTGTTCCCACTTTTTTGGCTACTATGCATGATCCCACTGTCAACGTTCATGGATGAGTTTTCTGTGGACATGTATTTTCCTTCTCTTGGCTAGACACCTGTGAGTGGAGTTGCCAGGTCGTCTGCTAACTTTGTGTTTAGCTGTTTGAGGAGTTGCCAAATGGTTTCCCAAAGCAGCTGCACATATACACTCTTATCAGCGATGCAGGAAGGCTCGGCTCTCTCTGCTATTCTTGTCGTTTAGATTATGTTCCTCCTAGTGGGAGTGACGTAGTACCTCACTGTGATACGATGTACGTCCTACAGTGACTGATGTTGCTGAACATGGTTTCACATGCTTAATGGACCTTGTATATCTTCTTTGAGAAAAATAACTGTTCAAGTCTTCTGTCCATTTTTAGTGGGTGAGTTCTCTTTAATTTTGAGTTGTAAGAGTTCTTTATATATTCTGAATACTAGTTTCCTATTAGATATATGCTTTCCAAATATTTTCTTTCATTATGCAGACTGCCTTTCGTAATTTAATTTTAAAATGCAAGTTCACAGGAAGAAAACTAGCAAAAGAGGCATTTGAATGATCATCAAAATCTAATTTAATTTTCCCAGCTTCTAACGGGTGAGAAAGGTACAGTAGCCCAGAAGAGAGCTCCCATTTGAACAGCTGTTCTACACTGGAGGTTTCACATGTGTGCTCTCATTTGTGTCTCATGAATACCTGCCAAGTCACTCTCTGGTCCTTACTGTGCAGAGAAGAAAACTGAGGCTCGGACGGATAGAAGAGCATTTCAATTTCATCGAGTCCATCAGGGCCGAAGTAGGGATTTAACTGCATGTGTTTGACGTTAAGGTTTGTGCCAGTTCTAGTTTATCAGATCTCTTCCCTCATTTTCTAAACATTCCTAAACTTGGTCAGAATAAAGTTATATAGATGATTGCTATTCGCCTTTAATGAGAAAATTCTGTGCAAGGCTTCCCCTTCTTCCAGTGAAAGCCGTTGTATTAATGCCTCATATGCATTTTTAGATATGCACTAAATGTCCCCTAGAGACAGTGTCACAGATCTACAGACTGGTACCGATGTTTGACTTTGCATTTGCATCTTATACCCAAGGGAGACAGAAGAGAAGCTCCCGCTGATTAAAATTGTCTCTTAGGAACGTTGCGATAAAATATATATCTGACTCAAGAGCTTTTGCTAGATGCTTTTATTTCTCCATTATCTCATGAGATTACAAATAAGAGGTGATAAGATTCAGATCTCAATCTATGTAACTATAAGTCCATGGATCCTTTTTTCATCACTCTATTTCCTTGAGTGATTGAATGATACCATTCTTATTTTTGTCTATGGTCTACATAATGAAAACTCATGGTGAGAAAAAGCAAGGAAAGACCATCAAGCAAAGCATCGTGTTTTTCTTCAAATGACAAATAAATAAGAAACAAATAAATAAAAGATGTGACTTAAAGAAACAACAACTAAATTTTGAGCCAGCTGATAGTGTTGTGGGGAAGGAGACTGGGTCCCACCAGGCTGACTGGCATGTCTATACCCAGACCTGGCCACTTGAAAAACACATCGGGTGTGTGTGCATGTGTGCCCCAAATCCTGAGAGAATGGGAGAGAAGGGATTGCAGCATGACCATCCCCAGGGGTAGGGGTGATTTCTCACTTTCTCTCTGGAGAACACACTTACCCTATAGTAAATTAAAACAATACTAAACTAACTTTCACTAGTTTTTTGGCCTATCACCATCTTTGGTCTTCCCACTGCCTTCAGTTATTATCTTTCACCTTGAGCCTTAATATTTTATTGCTCTTTTAAAAAATTAATGAAATAATTACACATCAATATCAAGAAATTTTCTCTAGTTCCAGTAGTTTCATTTCACTGCCATTGCCCCTTGGAAGACTCCCTTGGAGATTTTCAAATCCATCCTGTGCAGGCATCACCCCTAGCTCATGACCCTGAATGTGAATAACAATGCAATTGTGAAGCATATGAGGCAGGTGTTTTGCACAATTTTTATAATGAGGGGGTCTTCAAAAACTTTATGGAAATACATATTATGAAAAAATTATGCATGGATTTCAATTTTTTCTTTGCTCCAAAATAAACAATGGGGCTTTGTTCCATGATTTTGTGAAGTCTCCTAACCCCTTTTACTTAAGCTATTATTGTTCTCATTAAGGCCAAGAGGGGCTGAGTAAACCAAAGCCTTGAGCGAGTAGAGAGAGACCGCAGTCCAGATCTGTCCAGCTAGAGGTCAGGGCCCCTGTCATATCCCACGCACACTGTCCTTTCAGGGCTCTGAGCTTGTTCAGAGACCTAACAAGTAACAGGAAGTCTCCACAGCAGTAGGGCTCTGACAAAGTTCCGGGCCACCCTTCTCCATTGCTTTGCACACTCATGAGTGTCACGTGTCATAGGCACAGAGCTTGGATACCTAGCCTCCACGATTCTATCAAACTCTTTTGCAGTATGAATCATTTTCTCAGCACCGGAGTATACTTGGATTTTGTAGACACTTGGGAACGTCCGTGAAATGTAATCTTCACCTTCAAGGAGTGATCGGAACGGGAAAGGAAGGACGTGCAGTGCATGCCACACGTCACTGTCCCTAGGCCTCCGTGCGGCCACTTGTCAAGCACGGAAACTAGCCTAGATACCCTCAGGTGGTGACCAGGTCCAGAATTCCGTGGTTCTCCTTATGAAATGCTCGGAGTGAGTTAACAGAGAGGGGAGATGTGGTGAACCGCTTGCAGACAAAATGCTCCACCTACTTCAGATCTCGGAAGAGAAGGTGCCCTGAAAACCAAGGGGAGACGAGGTGCAACGAGGTGGGAGAGAAGCCTGTGCCACGCCAGGACAGCAGACAAGGTGCTGGGGCTGCAGGTGCGGCGGAAGGGCCAAGAGCGTGTGGCTGGCTGGCGCGGACGTAGGACGATACAGTCCGTGTAGAGAGAAGTCTGGGGAACGCACCTGATTTTCTGGATGGCCATTCCATTCGAGGGGCGTCTCACAATGGGAAGCAGAATGCGATATTCAGGTACATGTTTGCACAGGAGTGAAGCTGAGGAGAGGAAAGCAACCTGGCAGAGGTAACAGACTCTCCACGCAGGGCAAAATTCGGGCTCAGTGAGGACTGCTGTGAGCGTGGGATCATCGTGGCCAGGAGACGGGGTGAGGCTGAAGGCAGCAGAAAGAATGCGCAGTTAGTAATTACTAAAGCAAAGACGGCGATTTGTCTCTCCCGTAGGAGGTTTGAAACGAGAAAGTGCCCAATTAGAAAGTGTGGGTGTAAACGACAAAGAGCAGTAAGAATAATAAACACATCTCAGACTAGAAGAGAGCGGTTGTGGACAAAACATCCTTTTTCTGTGTTTGTGTTTTGGTTTGCTGTAGGGAGTATGTGCTCTCTGGAGAGACAGAGAGAGAATAAAAGTGAAAAATCATTTCCAGAAGGAGGGAGGTAAGGGAGATGGCCACACCGCAATCCTTTGTCTTCCTTTCTCCTCTTGGGATTGTGGGCATGTACTCATGCACACGTGCCTGGTGTGTTTTCAAGCCACCAGGTCCAGGACTTGAACCACTTGTACTTGGCCATGTGGGGTCCAATTGCCTAAACTACCAGGCTACAGGCTGGCCCCATGCATGTCTATTTAAACTTTGGAATATTATAGCACTTCTCACTAGCAGCCAAATGTCAGTTTTAAAAACTGTACACATGGCTTCGGACCTGAGCGCGTCTGTACAACACGTCTACTTTTAAAAAGAACCAGCTCCAGACACTGCAGTTTGGTAGGCTCATGAGTGTCACGTGTCATAGGCACAGAGCTTGGATACCTAGCCTCCACGATTCTATCAAACTCTTTTGCAGTATGAATCATTTTCTCAGCACCGGAGTATACTTGGATTTTGTAGACACTTGGGAACGTCCGTGAAATGTAATCTTCACCTTCAAGGAGTGATCGGAACGGGAAAGGAAGGACGTGCAGTGCATGCCACACGTCACTGTCCCTAGGCCTCCGTGCGGCCACTTGTCAAGCACGGAAACTAGCCTAGATACCCTCAGGTGGTGACCAGGTCCAGAATTCCGTGGTTCTCCTTATGAAATGCTCGGAGTGAGTTAACAGAGAGGGGAGATGTGGTGAACCGCTTGCAGACAAAATGCTCCACCTACTTCAGATCTCGGAAGAGAAGGTGCCCTGAAAACCAAGGGGAGACGAGGTGCAACGAGGTGGGAGAGAAGCCTGTGCCACGCCAGGACAGCAGACAAGGTGCTGGGGCTGCAGGTGCGGCGGAAGGGCCAAGAGCGTGTGGCTGGCTGGCGCGGACGTAGGACGATACAGTCCGTGTAGAGAGAAGTCTGGGGAACGCACCTGATTTTCTGGATGGCCATTCCATTCGAGGGGCGTCTCACAATGGGAAGCAGAATGCGATATTCAGGTACATGTTTGCACAGGAGTGAAGCTGAGGAGAGGAAAGCAACCTGGCAGAGGTAACAGACTCTCCACGCAGGGCAAAATTCGGGCTCAGTGAGGACTGCTGTGAGCGTGGGATCATCGTGGCCAGGAGACGGGGTGAGGCTGAAGGCAGCAGAAAGAATGCGCAGTTAGTAATTACTAAAGCAAAGACGGCGATTTGTCTCTCCCGTAGGAGGTTTGAAACGAGAAAGTGCCCAATTAGAAAGTGTGGGTGTAAACGACAAAGAGCAGTAAGAATAATAAACACATCTCAGACTAGAAGAGAGCGGTTGTGGACAAAACATCCTTTTTCTGTGTTTGTGTTTTGGTTTGCTGTAGGGAGTATGTGCTCTCTGGAGAGACAGAGAGAGAATAAAAGTGAAAAATCATTTCCAGAAGGAGGGAGGTAAGGGAGATGGCCACACCGCAATCCTTTGTCTTCCTTTCTCCTCTTGGGATTGTGGGCATGTACTCATGCACACGTGCCTGGTGTGTTTTCAAGCCACCAGGTCCAGGACTTGAACCACTTGTACTTGGCCATGTGGGGTCCAATTGCCTAAACTACCAGGCTACAGGCTGGCCCCATGCATGTCTATTTAAACTTTGGAATATTATAGCACTTCTCACTAGCAGCCAAATGTCAGTTTTAAAAACTGTACACATGGCTTCGGACCTGAGCGCGTCTGTACAACACGTCTACTTTTAAAAAGAACCAGCTCCAGACACTGCAGTTTGGTAGTCTTTCAAGCTAAGCAAGAGCACAGGGTAGGGCCAGCCTCGCGGGGCAGCAGTTAAGCACTGAGTGGAGGAAGCCAGACCCCACGTGGCCAACAATGGCTGGAGTTTGGGCGCAGCAGCCTGAAAACCACACCAGGCACTTCCTGGTAGGGCAGCGAGATGGAGAAGGGATTGCGCCATGACCACGGCTCACTGTGGGGCTGCTTTTCCTCTCACTCTTTCTTGGCTAGTACATGTTCCCTTGGGCAACAACAAAATTAAAACAAAAACAAAAACAAAACACTAGATAATTTTGAAAAAAAAAAAGCAATATTTTCAATGGAGTATGTTTTCTCTCTTTTTTCTTCAGGGAAAAAAAAAAGTACCTGAATAAAATTAAACATATATTAAAACTTTAATAATCACACTTTGAAAGAAAACAGAATTTAAATTAAGTAGCCACACTTCTGATCTAGTTCATTTCAGACACGGACTCATGGACCTGTACCGCTATCCGCCATTGGGAACCCTGGAGAGCTGGTCGGGCCAGGGCACATCCCACACCATTGCTGGGTTTGTGTGTTTCTTGTGGTCTATGTTATACACAGTTCATGTGTTCAAAGCAACGGGAGGAGCGTAAATTGGTGCAACCACTTTGGAAAACAGTTTGGGATCAGTAGTAAAGTTGAATATATGCATATCTTATGCTCCTATCATTTTAACTCTAGGAATAGAACTTATCAAATCTCTTGCCTGGGCCAGCTCTGCAGTCTGGTGGTTAAGGAGGCCAGATCCCACATGGTCAACCACAGCTCGAATCCTGACCCCAGCAGGTTAAAAACATGCCAGGTGTGTGCTGATATGTGTGTCTAAAATCCCAAGAGGATGGAGAGATGAAGAGAAGGGACTGCAGTGTGACCATGCTCCTCCACTGGGGGCTGCTTTCTCCACCCCTCTTTGTCTCTCTCTGGTGAGCAGACACACTCTGGCAAAGGAAAAAAAGAAAAAGGAAACAATCTCTATCCGGGTGACCAGAACACATCATCTGTAAAAGAATGTCTATAGCACCTTTCTTCCCAATTATCCCGGATAGAAACGACCCAAATGTCCAAAGACCATAGAATGGAGAGATAACTGTGGAATACTGACAAAGATTTTATAGCAATGAAACGAAATAAACCCTGACTCTACTTCAAAATCTTCCACAGATGATACTGAATAAATGAACCAGAACACATAATAACACATTTGATAAGATTCCACACATATGAATTTCCAAAAAAGAATGCAAAACTAGACTGCGTTACCAGGGCTGCTCTGCTAGCTGGGGATCTGCAGAGGAAGCCGAGATGCAACGTCAGGGCAATCGTCCGCTCAGGCGGGGAAGAGAGCGAGTTCGGGAGGAGAGGCGCATGGTGTGGAGGACTTCCCGGAGTCGAGCAGGGTTTTATAAGCAGTCTTCAATAAGTTCATGGGAAATTATATTATTTTAAACATTCTACATGGATTTCAGATTTTTTTGTGACAAAATTAACTCATACTACAATGATATTTTCCCACAAATACGAAGTGTTCCAAAAATACGAAACATTTTGAGCACTAATGTGACTTCACAAGTGGACATTTTCACACCTGATCTCACATGATAGATTACAGTCAAACTATTGTAACATGGAGATATCATATAAAATTACTTGTTTGAAATTCCCTCATCTTTCTTTTCTTTTCTTTCTTTTTAAGAGAGATTTTTGCTATAGGGTGCATGTGCTCACTGGAAAGTGAGAAATCACCCCCCGGGGGATGGTCACACCACAATCCCTTTTTCTCCATTCTCCTCTTGGGGTCTTGGCATGCACACGTACATGCCGGGCATGAGGTTTAAGCCACAGGGTCTGGGACTCGAACCACGGTGGACTACATGGGAGTTTAGTGACATAACCATTACATCATCTGCTGGTCCCTGAAGTCCCCTCATGCGTCTCATACTACGTGTCCTCTTTATAAGTATGCTCTTCAGGTATAATACTTACATAGTGTTTTATATACTTTCCTGTATCTCTATTGTATTTCACAATATTGAAAAGACTTTGAAAACCCCACAGAATTTCCCGACACTTCAGAAAAGGCCTTGAAGTCCTCCTCTCATGGTGGTCACTAGCAAAGCTCCTGTGACGTTTCCTACATCAAATTGGAGAATAGTAAGAATTTGGGGCTAGGATTAAAAAGAGTACATCGTGTAAGTTTGGTGTACTGCTGAAAACGTGTTCCCATCTAACCGATTTTTCGTTGTTTCATCACGTCGTGGGGAGGTGCTGGTGACGCCTGCCCGGCTTTTCTGTACTAAGAGAACTCTATAGGACCACCTCCAGAAATCGGAGAAGGACCACTGCCCTGCTGCTGGTGGCCGGGCCTGAGTGCGATTCAATCAATCAGCATGTTTGTTCTAGTGTGAACTGCACTCCCACCACTTCCTGTGTTCCCAGTCTATTGATATTCCCGTGGGTGACGTGGCTTCTTTGCCAAGACCCCGCTCCTTTCTGTCTCTATTGTATTCGGTATTTAGGAGAGGGCTGCTATTTCTCCCTGGCTGATTCCCGCATCGGTCTTTGTACAGGAAGCGTGTGATGAAAGGACCAATCAGTGGACTCTTGGCACCATTTAGAACGTTAAACGCGGGCAGCATGGCGACAGTGCTGCTCCTAAACCCGGCACCTCCAGGTCAGGGCAAGCCGCGTTTGCACGTTGGATGAGAACGGAAGAACCACACATGGAACGGCGCCATCGCAATGGCGGGAATGGAAACCAAGCCCTTGTCCTGCTTGCCACTTAGTGATCCTTCCCTCTCGGCCACCCAGGGAAATAGAGGAGACCTCAACAGCAAGTAGAGATGCCCTTCCCAGCACCCCTAGGCTTTTCCTTTTCACGGAGAGGTGTACCCCATTTGTTCTGATGAGCAGGTCCTGGTCCTACCAAACCAAACCAAAGACAGTGACTTTCCTGAGATGAGGGCGGTCAGGTCCCCGGTCGCACACAGCAGCCGCCAACACCACTTACCACGCAGCACCTGCAAGTGCCTTACGTGCACTCTTCCCTTTAACCATCAGAAAATTAAAACATAAAAGCATGATTCTGCTCCCTGTTTTACAAGGGAAGAAATGGAGACAGGAAGCTGAGTGTTTTGCACACAGAAATCTGGTACCAGCAGGAGTCAGAACTTAGCCCTGGGAGTCTGAGTCCGGAGACCAGGGCACGCTCTCTGCTGGAGAAGAACCCCGAGCCCGAGAAGGCACTCTGCTGGAGAAGAACCCCGAGCCCGAGAAGGCACTCCAGGAAAGGCCTGGATGCCCTCCTCTGATGGCGGTCAGAAAAACAGTGACTAACCAGCGCCCTCCACAGCCTGCAGGAATTACGGCAGATTTTAGAAGCACAGATCTTATTCCGGAAATCTTACCCACAGGCCTGGTATAGGTAAGAAATAGGTAAGAAAGGGGAAACGTTTCTGAACGCCTGCACCAGTGCAAGGGCTTGCACCAACTGAGTAGCCCTCTAAGAGCTTCGCCGGGCTGGTCGTGTCTCAGCCCCTCTGGGCTCTGTGCCTGTGGTCCCACCAACTGCGTTTTTTCACATTACGCTGTTATTCGTGGATATTTCTTTCCTCCCTACTGGATGTCGAGACTCAATAAGGCCAAGAATTTCAGACTCCCAGATCCTCAGTGCCTTGCACATGGTCTGGAATATAGCAATCTTTGAGATGACTTCAGAGTTCATGGGAAAAAATGGCATTAAAGTATGAGTGTATGTTGTGGCAAAAAAACTAAGTGGCAGGTGGCATGGTGGGTAAAGTGGCTGGACCCCACATGGCCAGCTGCGCGGTTTGATTCCCAGACGTGGTAGCTTGAAAACCACAGTGGGTCCAAGTCCGAGAGGAGGGAGGGATGGAGGAGAAAGGGGTTGTGGTGTGACCGTGCGCCCGGGGCATTCTCTCACTTTCCCTGTCTCTTTCTCTCTTTCAGTCTCACTCCATGAGTGCATGTGTTCTATAGGGCATTATTCTTTTTTTCTTTTTTTGGAGAGTTTTTTTTTTTTTACGCTATAGGGCGCGTGCGCTCGCCAGGCAGACAGAGACATAGAGACAGAAAGCGAGAAATCACCCCCCGGGGGGATGGTCACGCCGCAATCCCTTCTCCTCCATTCTCCTCTCGGGATCCCGGGCACGCACGCACACGCGCCCGGCGTGAAATCCAAGCCACCAGGTCGGAGACGCGAACCGCGGTCGACTACGTGGGAGTCCAGCGACACAGCCATTACGCTAACTGCTGGTTCCCTATAGGGCATTATTAAAAATCAAGTCCATGCGTAGTGTTTTCATAGTAGACACTTTCCATGGACTTTTTAAAGACCTTGCT